CCAGGAATTGAACTCAGGCCCTTGTGCTTGCCAGGGAAGCACTTATTCCACTGAGCCATCTCCCTGGCCTATAACCTAATATTGAACCTCAACCTTTTAGAAAAAAAAAGAGCAACTCCGTCCCAAAGCTTGTATGAGGGAGGTCGTTATAAAGATCAGAGCAGAAATTAATGTAATTGAAACTAAGAAAATAATACAAAGAATTGATGAAGTTGGTCTTTTAAATATGAAATGAAATTAACTAACCCTTAGACAACCTTAACAAAAAAGACTTAAATTCATGCAATTAGGAATGAAAAGGGTGGAAGTGAGGGCAATCTGGCTGCAACATCAGTCACCCTATTGATCCCCTGAGTTGACTCAGCTGATCTGGCTGGCTAGGCAGGTATCTCCTACTTCAGTACTCCACATACATCCCTCCAAAGCTGCATGTTTAGTTGAAGAGGACAAACATCCCCAATAGAGGAGGACCATTCCTCTGTCAAGGGTATACAAGTAGCTGTGTTCCCCTGCTAATAAGCTCTCAAGAAATGAAAAGAGTGAAATTACAATAGATCTTAGAGAAGTGCAGGAAGTCATCCATATCTACCTTGCAAACCTATAGTCTAATAAAATGAAAACACAGAAGAAATGGACAGATGCCTAGGTACGTATGAGTTACCAAAGCTGAATCAAGAAGATATAAAAATTTTAAATGAACCAATATCAGTTGATGACACTGAAGATGTAATTGAAAACCAACCAAAAAAAGAGAAAAGCCCAGGTTCTGATGGATTCAGTGCTAAATTTTACAAGAAATTTAGAGAACACCTAATATTCTCTAAACTCTTTAATGAAATTGAAATGAAACCATACTCCCAACTTCATATTTTATAGAAGCAAACTACCCTAATAGTGAATTGAGAGAAGAACCCAGCCAAAGAGGAGAACTACATGTCAATCTCCCTAATAAACATAGATGCAAAAATCCTCAATAAAATACTGTCTAACAGAATACAACAAATCATCAAGAAGTTTATACACCATGAACAAATAGTACTCATTGCAGGGATTCAGGGATGATCCAACATATATAAATCAATAAATGTAACACATTATATCAACAGAGTCAAGGACAAAAACCATATGATCATCTGAATAGATGCAGAAAACACATTTCACAAAGTCTAACATTCATGATAAAACCCTACAGAAAATTGGGATAGATGGTCTTCATCTTAACCAGATGAAATTCATCTATGATAAAATAACAGCCAACATCAAACTAAATGGACAAGAACTGAAAGCTTTCACTCTAAAATCGGCAAGACATGGATGTCCTCTCTCATGACTCCTATTCAATATAGTTCTGGAATCATTAGCTACAGCCATTAGACAAGAGAAAGAAATAAAAGGAATAAGAATAGGTAAAGAAGAAGTTGAATTATCATTATTTGCATATGACAGGATACTCTATATAGAAGACCCCAAAAGACTTCTAGATTCAATATCCAAATTTGGTAGGACAGTTGGATGCAAAGATGCCAGTCAAAAATCAATAGCATTCCTGTACACAAATAACAAACTCAGTGGGAGAAAAAATAGGGAAAAATATCTTTTACCATAGCATCCAAAAAAGTGAAATACCTATAAATCAGTTTAAGGAAGGAAGTAAAAGACCTTTACATTGAAAACTACAGACCAGAGGAGATGGCTCAGTAGAATAAGTGCTTTCCTGGCAAGCACAAGGGCCTGAGTTCAATCCCCAGTTCTGAAAAAAAAAAAAAGGAAAGAAAACTACAGTACTCTGGAAAAGGAGAATGGAAAAATATCCTTTGTTCTTGGGTAGAAAGAACCCATGTAGTGAAAATGGCCATACTTCCAAAACTATTACACAGATTTAATGTAATTCTGATCAAAATACAAACAGCATATCTCACAAACTTACAGAAAACAACCCTAAAATTCATTTGGAACCAGAAGAGACCTAGAATAGCAAAAGCAGTTCTGGGCAAGAAAGGCAAGGCAGGGGGGCATCACAGTCCCTGACTTGCACTTATGCTGTGGTACAATCAGCATGGTACTGGCAAAACAAACAAACAAACAACAAAAGACAAACCTGAGGATCAGTGAAACAGATTACAAGATGGAGAACAAACTCTAAGCACACTCAGCCAACTTATCTTTCTTTGACAAAGGAGCCAAATACGTTTACTGGAAAAAGACAGCTTCTTTTATAAGTGATGCTGGAAATATGGGCTTTCCACATACTGAAGATTAAGACTAGATCCTCAATCCTCACCAGGCCATAAACTAAAACGGAAATGGATCAAAGATCAAAATATTAAAACAGAAACATTAAATCTGCTGGAAGACAGCATAGGTAGAAATCTTGAAGATATTGGTATAGGCAAAGACTTTATAAACAAATCCCAATTGTGCAGGAAATATCACAATCAATAGCTGGGATCTCATCTTATTAAAAAAGCTTTTGCACAGCAAAAGAGACCACAGATTAAAGAGACAATCCACCAAGTGGGGAAAAATTTTCCCAGCTGTTCTTTAGACAAAACTAATGTCTAAAACGTATAAAGCTCTGAAAAAAAAAAAACATACTCCTCCAAATTTCAAGACACAATCCAAATGAATAAACACTTCTTAGAAATGACAAATAGGTGTAAGAAAAAAAGTTCAATATCACCGGTCATTCAAGAAATGCAAATTAAAACAACACTGAGATTCCAGCTCACTCTAGAAAGAATGGTTATTATCAAGAAATCAACCAATAACAAATGCTGGTGGGGCTGTGGAGAAAAAGGAACCCTTTTCCACTGTTGGAAGGAGTATAGACTGGCGCAGCCACTGTGGAATTCTGTGTGGTGATTCCTAAAGGAAAAAAAAAAAAGATCGCTAGAGGTGCAATTTTTCCCAAATGTTCCCCTTCTTTTTATCTTCCTGAAACAATGAACAGCACCCTTCCACAGCAGTATGTGCACACCCACGCTGTTTCTAACAGCACAGTTTGCAATAGCTAGGTCTTAGACGCAGCCCAAATCCCCAGCAACTGATGAACAGATAAAGAAGATGTGGTTTTTTTTTTTTTTTATACAATGGAGTAGTACACTACCTTAAAGAAGAATAAGCCTGAGACATTTCTAGAAAAGTGAATTCACCTCGAGAGCATAGTCTGAAGTGAAATAAGTTAGACATGCATTTAAATACCACATTATTTTTCTTGTATGAGAAATCAAAAGTGTAAATAAGATCCAACACAGAAAATAGATATTGTAATATGGAAAGAACATATTCAAATGGGAAGGGGCCCAAGGAAAGGGAGATGAAGAAAGGAAGACACAAGGGAAAAAATAGAGACAA